CCATTTTTATTCTCTCTTTTTTTTCTATCCCACTTCTGACACCAATTTGTTACGTCTCCATTTGTTAATTAACTTTCCGTAACTTCGTTCCAACGAAATTTTAACGACACAAGTCTTTACTTAATAAAACTGGTTTATTCTTTCCGAATATAACTCTGCAATACACTTAATCTCAATATTCGCGCTAAAACAAACAGTATCACGAACGAACGTTAACTTCAACAATACCCTGTGACTGCAGTTCAATTACTCACTGTCTACACACACATTACATTCCCCTCTTTTATATACCCGCCTACCCTATATCTAGTAAGAACTAGAACATTCGCCAAAGTACAGGATAATTCTAGATAGTAGAGAGCGTGAGAATCACATGATCTCGATGACACAACAATATAAAAATCAAAGATTTCTAAATTTATAAAGTTCCAACATTTTTTAAAAAAATAGGAGCTAAAATACAAAGTAAAAGAATGAAATAAATTTCAAGATGGGTATAGTGTGCAAACATAAACATTAGTTTTTTAGCAGAATAATAAAAGTTACTTAGAACAAACTTTACTGAATTTGTGTTCTTATTTAGTTTAATTTCTATGCATGAAAACACAAACTGCATATTAAATAGTGTTAGAATTTTATACATGTACAAAAGATTTATATGGGTGAGCAGATGGAATTATAGTAAAGTGGAAGTTCTAGATATTTTCTATTTATGATTTATATTTCTAGATATATTTCAGTAGATATCTTCTATAAATTCATTTTCGTTTTCAAGTATTTCACAAAGTCAAAAATTTATGAATGATGTTGCATCACACAAAAATAATACAATCAGTTTATCACAGATATCTAAGTGGTTAATTATTTATTATTATTAAACTAAATAAAATTCATGAAAACAAAAATTTTGACATTATTATAAACAAGTTTTCCAAATTTGTTAATGAAATTTCTATTGGTAATGCTGTTATGATCACATAATACCAGACATATAGATAGTATTAATATAAAAACTAATTATAAGTCAGATTAATAACTTATTACAATGACCCACGTAAGGGTCTGGTTATAGAAACCTAAACTTAATCACAAGTAAGAAGTATAATTAACCTGAACTTACCTGAAGTTTCTGATTCTGGACTGTCAGAACGCTCTGTAAAATGAGGTAAAAGAACAGTAGAGATCTGCATGTTTTCATATTGGGACACTCTGGTCTGTTTTTCTTCCATACTTTCTTCTGGGTCCTCAGGAGGTTTTATCAGGAAACGACAATTAAACGTTCGACTTTTACTTGTACCTGAGCCAGGATCTGAGGTCCAGCCAAACCCGTTACCTGCAGAAACCAGGCAATAATATAAGCCTAAAGAAAAAAAAAGATAGTTTAGGTATTTGATGAGTTTACCTACGGCAGAAGGTGTTTCCTGTTCTTTTACACGTTGGGTTTGCTTCCGATAACAAGTATTGTATGCTATCTGGCATTGCAACTTGCTTTTTGAATAATCCTCATGAATGATGTGCATACAATATTACTTTTTAAAATTTATTTTGTTATGAATTGAAATAATCAGGAATATTTAATTCTATTGTGTTCTGTTTGATGTATGGACTAAGTATGTATTTTATGGTGTTTCAGTTTGGTGCAGTTTGGGTTACAGTGTATGATATTTCTCACAATACTGTTTACGATACTGTTACTAGAAAATGATGTGATGTCACATATATATTGGAGCAACCTACTTTTAACTTGTTACAACTATGCTAGCACACAAAGAAAAAGAATTATACTATAACATGTAACTTATATAGGTGCATTGCTGAGGTAAATGTTAATGCAAACATTCCACAGTATCTCACTGACCAAATGCATGAAACACATCATTTTAACTTCCAGAATGCCATGAACTTGTCACCAACTGTTTTATCACCATGTGCATGAAGGTTTCTGATTCTTTTGACAACATAAGAATCATAAGCATAAATTTATCCCAAGAAAAACATCAGAATTAAGAAAATAACAAGGACCATTATACCAATATGTTTAGTATCATTTAAAATTATTGATGAAAAATACAGAGATACATAGAAAAATGACTAATGAAATCATTACAGCCTGGACTTTCAGGGCTATTTTGTGAACCTCTGTTTCATAGTACTATGCAAAAATCTGGGGTTTAATTTCTCACAAAGACAGCCCACTGTGTAATTTTGTGCTAAAAAAGTTTCACAATGGTATTCAGAATAAAACAAGGAAACTTGAAGTTTTATAGATAATGTACAACTGTGTTTTTACAATTTTGAAAATGTAACAACTTTAGAATATTTTTTTCTTACCAAATGAAGAACAGACTATTATATCTAACATTATAAGTTTCATGTAATTTTAGCTATAGTGATATGACTTGTCAGATATGCAAAGAACTATCTTCAGTAATTACAAATTCTTAAAATTTGGAAAATTAATTGGTTATTTTCCAATAATATTAATAAGACCATTTATTTCAGAATTTCTATCAACAATAATAGTATTGGCCAACTTGACTGACTTACATTAAGTTTTATATAGGAATAGTGCTAGTATAGACGTGAGACCTCCTCTTTGGTGTAACTTAGTTGAATTCCTCATTTGACAAAACATGCTACCTGTAACTTAATAGTATCATAACGTCTTTAGTATATGTCTCTCTTAAAGTTTAATAAATGAAATCTTAAAAAATTCTTAACTCTTCTTTCTTTAGAGGAATACCTAGGGTAAAAAAGAAACTTAAACCACATTCTTTGTAACTGTTATCCATGTCGCAAGTAAAAATGCATTATACATGTATTGTTATAGCGTAAACATTTATTTTATGGTTGAGCAATAACTATGTTACAAGGCTGCAATTAATGTATTATGAAGTGCTATAATATATAATACTTAGAAAAATATAAGATTAATTTCAAAATAAACTGTGAAGAGTAAAAAACAAACAAACCAACATTTTTTGTGTTTTTTTACTCTTAATATAGTAGCACAATGTACCTGAAAAGAAATTACAAACTATGAATCCAAATACTATTTTTAAATTTTTTATTTTACTTTTTAAAGATATAACATGGGTGAAAAATCCAATAAATTTAGGGAGAAAGTAGTAATTACAGTCATCTAAAGCTTAATAATAAATACAAACTACAGTCATCTAAAACTTAATAATAAACACAAACTACAGTCATCTAAAGCTTAATAATAAATACAAACTACAGTCATCTAAATCTTAATAATACATACAAACCACATCAATAACCTAATCTAGGTTTAATCCACAACTAAGATTTTTGTTGCGATGGAACATAATTATGTTTCACAAAACTTAAATATAAGAAAAAATAAAAACACTCCCAGTTACAAATGTAGCACAGATTGCTTAAAATGCTGTGTGAGCTTGTTAATTAATCTTGTGCATAGACATTGCAGATAATCATTACCTGAGTACCTCTTACCTATTGACATTGGTAACAAGTTACTGCTGAACCTTGCATGATCTCCCACATGAATTATGTTGTAAATGCTTTTTCCCAAAAGGTCATCCTTAAAGGCAAAACAAGAAACAACAACAGATTTTTCAATCGGAACAAATACGAAAAAAAACAATTATAAAATTTTATGAATATCAATTTTTAAGAACTTTTGTTTCCTAAGCTTGGTTCAAGATTATATAAGTTACAAAATTTATCTAAGAATGTTTTTTTTTCTTTTTTAATGAACATGGAACATTAATTAGTGATAACATTTTCTATGATTTATTCCAAAAACATAAAAATCCTGAACAATGAATATTAAAGTTACACTGTAATTTCTACCTTTTATGAATGATAAATGAAGTATTCACTCCAGAAAAATACTCTCATAAAAAGTTGTTAGATAAAAAGTGAACAAGAAAAAATTACTCTTATTGGGATTCTAAAATAAATGCATTAGTCACGTACATTAATGACAAAACATATGGGGACACACAAATCACCATTACTGTGGCTTTGAAACTGTGAATAAAACAAAATCTAAATTGAATTTTGTCAATATTTCCTGCTATCTCAATAGCAAAAATTTGTACCTTGGTATACTTAAGGAAATAGCTTATGTTTTCTGATACCACCTCAATCTTTCCATCAGTGTTGACAAGAACAAGAAAACCATCTAAGGCCTGAAATGATAAAACATTAGTTAAATAGAAAAATAGAAAAAAAGAATTAAATATGCAAATGTTAGCAGATAATGTATTGAACCAGTAAAAGCATGATATATCAAGACTTGAATTTACCAATGAAAAATGTCAATAATCTATATAAACAAAAACTCTACAACAGTGAGTCCTAGTAATCTTATTCCTTAAGAATTATTTTAAATTACATAAGTGTTGTATCTGAATAAAACTAACTTACAAATTTCAAAGCTTCCAAAACTGAAATAATAATGGCAGGAATAAAGTATTGATATAACATTTTAACTTAAAAACATTAGTCAAATTACCAAAAAGAAACTGATTTTTAATAGCTTGACTCTTAGGAAATCTAAATACTGTATGCCAAGATTATACAAAGTCAACCCCCCAAAAAAATAAAATCACAGTCATCTACCTAAAAACCTAAACTCATGCATTAAGTCAAAGAAAACAGAATACATTAACAGCACTTCAAATTATAACCTTGGCTTATAGCTACACTCTCAATACCAAAACTACATGAACTCGTATACAGATAACCATTATTTTTAAATACTAAAAAAAAAGAAACATAGCAGTAAATTACAGTGTATGTATGTATTTATAGACAGAAACCTTGGATTTGTATCTAGACTATAAAATCTAAGTTTGAATTAAAATTATAATTGAAAAAGTACTTTTAAACTCTCAAGAGAAAGCTAACCAAAAAAAATTAGCAAATCAGTGACCTAATTTTAAGAGCATAATCATGATTTAGAACCTAAATTCAGCTTTAAAAGTGGAATGGAATCTAGCCAAGAAAAAAGTATTGTAAGGACACGGAAAAAAATGATATTGAAGTACTTGCTCATGCCAACAGTTAGCTGTTGGCAATAAAGCAAAACCCTTCTTTTCTGATGCACACACAAACTCAAAAAAGGGACTAAGATTATGTTTAATGCTTTGCTGCTGGAGAAAAATTGTATTCACCATTTACACATGAAGTGATAACTGTTATTACTGGATGACTGATTACATATTCCATTGGCTGAAAAACCACAATCTTCTAACACAGTTATTTCATTACAACATTTACATTCAGTAAAAGAAAACTAAAATTAAAAAGTATTTTCTTTCTACAACAAACTAAGGCACAAACTTACAAAATCCCTTTTCTTTATGTAAATATGAATATAAATCACATACTTTCTGAGTGAACTACAATCTAATACAATTAAAGTAATAAACTTTAGAACATTTAACTCACATGAAATTAAACAATTCTTATAATTCAAGTTTCAGTAACAAAAATCCAGAATAACCAAGATTCATTTTCAGAGTTGTATACAAGGGCTTCCTACACTTTTATAAATTAAGTGAAAGAGAAAGAGAGAGAAAAAAAAAAAGAGAGCTACAATACGCACAAAATTCCAATTACATAAGAACCTACAGATACCACCAAAACAGCCAAACCTGCACCACTCACTTCCAATAACAAAGGTCCAAGAACTTCAGCATTCAGAATGCTGGAATTACTTGAAGAAACTTCACTCTCTTGGAGTTCATCACTTTCACCTATAGCTGCAAAGTAAGTTAAACTGTTAGAAAGTATTAGTCATTTCTTCTCAGACACTTTTATATCTCATGTTTTTATGTTCTGAAGAAATTATTCAAATGTATCACTAGATAAAAACTGATTCAAACAGATGATAAAATGCTTGAGGTATAATTAAAAATTAATTATGGCTGTCCATGATCCTTCCTACTCATTTTGCTTGGAATCAAAATGGTTAATGTTAACGTATCTCAATTTACCTAAAGCAATGTTGTAAAAATATCTGTGCCTTTGTGATTTTATAACTACATAGATATTTAGTTTTAGGAATTAGTTAAATGATCCTTTGGTCACATGTTTTTTTTATTCTGTTTGAGTTCAATTACCTTGTTGGATTCTATGGATCTGGCTGACAGTTTCTTGAATTATGGCACACTTCTCTGGCTTGACAGTCAAGGAACTCATGTCAGCTAAACTAACAGAGATGAGTTCTGCTAGCTCCTCAAAGCATATGCCCTCTTGAGATTGGCCACTTCTGTCATTAAGGCACTTGTTCCTGTAAATTTAAGAAGAAATTATATTTATTCTTCATTCCAACAAGCTCTGAAAAAACGTTTTTAACATTTTTTACAATATGAAAACAATAATTGTTTAGATTTTTTCACTACCTCCAGAAATGTCTGAAGTGTGCATGTGTGCATATATATATATATATATATGAAAGCTGTCACAAATCCAATGTCAAAATTTTGAATTTCTGGCACCAAGTCTAAAATAAAGTAACTTTGAAAACTATACAGATACATATTACACAATATAACTAAGTAATTAAACTAATAGATTAAAGCTTTAAAAAATATGGTATCAGTAATTAGCAATGGATTATATATTACTACTCAGTTAATCTTAAGTTTTAATGCAACAAACCATACTGTAAAGTTACAAATATTCTGAAGTGAATAATAAACTTGATAGCAGACAAACCTTCAGTTATGCTTTCCAGCCAGATGAAAGTTAACTATTTTAAATTAAGTGATGATGCAACTCTATGAGGTAATTTGTTATGGTCTGATCTGATGACTGTTTTGTCAGTTGTACATCAGACAGTCTTTCACTTTTAAGTTTCAATTTCCCCTTTTTTTACAAACTGCAATTAGCCTTCAGAAAACTTTATAAATGTACATTTAAATAAATAACACAAGGTAATTTCAAACATGTAAAATTTTTTCTCTCTTCTCACACTTTTAACATCAGCTCACCTGGGCTGGATTTCTTATTTAGTTCCTAAAGAACTTTGCACTTGAACTAAACAAGAAATTCAGCACCAGTGAGCTGATGTTAAAAGTGTGAGAAGAGAGAAAAGAATTTTAAATGTACATTTGTTAGAAAAATCATGGGTAGTAAGTAATTTCTACTAGGTCATGTAACTTCTGAGAGTTTTTTTGTTTTTCTAACAAGCCATATAAGTCAGTTTGAAAGGACTGCTAGCTGGTCACATTTTCCTTTTTTTTTTTTTCTTTTTTTTGTTTATAAAGATTTATTTTAACAGAGCTAAGTACATTAGAGAAAAAAATATTGAACTTTATTGTTCTATAATTTCAAGACATGCATATATAAACACAATAATGAAAGTAATCATGGAAATGGTGAGTTACAATGGTATAAATAGCAAGTATTATGAGAATGCCACCCCTTTCATTGTATTGATGACTACACTGTGTGACTGGTTGTCATCCAACCAATCAGAAAGTGCCATACCAATATAAAACCTATACAATTACACGCAATTATACTACATTCAGTAGTAGCATTGTAATTCCAGTCATGGCTCTCGGTACTGAAATACCACATGACAAGCAGGTAGAAATTAAAGTTTTCATTGATCAACGATACTTCAAGCAAGAAATTGTGGCAAGACTCCATGTTTTAATAGAAGCTGTATGCAAAGTTCTGAAAAGGGTGCATGAAAGTGATATTGTTATTAACAGAAGTGGCTGAGATATAAAATAAAAACTCTCCAAAAGCAGTGTTAAGTATGTTTCTTATGAAATGGATGAAATGTAAGTGCAGATTTTCCCAATGACCTAGCTGGAAATACTGTTGTGAATGCTATCTCGAGAACAGTGAGATAGATACACACACATTAGCATAAAGTGGTCTCAACTGATGTGTGGCTGCTCAAAAATTGCTGCTGAGAAAAATTAACTAAACCATAAGATTGAAATAGGCATCAAATCACAAGCAGTGGAATGAGCAAAGATGGATATGTCTGCTTGTTATATATGAACCCAAGTTCACGTTCATTGGCAACAATGAACAAAGAGTCTGTTTGATGGCAGAGAGGAGAAAAGTATCACAGTCACTGTTCATCTACAGTGAAGCATGGTGCGTGATCAGCTAAGGCTGTATCTTATCCAATGGTGTCAGTGGTATACACAACTTTGATGGCACCCTGACTCTGGCAGATCCTTATCCATCATGCCATTCTCTCAGAAACACAATTCATTGAATAGGGACTCATCTTCTAGCAAAACAATAACCCCCAGGGTTCGCATCACCAAACACTGACCTCTCATGTGAGAACTGTCTGCCTTACAAGAGGTGGAAGAGAGTTCCTTTACTGATGGTACCAATGGCCTTCTAGTAGTGTACTGTATTACTGATTCTCGATCTTTTGCTTTTCCTAGCTACTCCATACATTACTTTGTTTTCCAACAGTTTCATACTCTCGAAATTTTGATGAAGACATTCCATGGTTGGTGCTTTTACCTTAATAGTGCAAAGGAGGTAAATATCCTGTCAATAGAGTTGTACTGGAATAAATAAAGAGGATTATCATGCAAGAGCTTTACCCCTTCTTAACCTGGAACATACATCAAGGTGATGGTCTTACCATGTATATGCTTTGCTTTCTATCACCCATCTGGAGACCAACTACCCTACGTTTTATTCAGGACTGTCTGTGAGTCAGTCACAAGTTTTATGTTGCTGGCATTGTCTATTTGTGGGTCATTGCTTTCAGCAATTCCAGAAGAGAGACTGCTTTATGGCTTCCAACTTTATCCTTTTGCTGCTTGAATTCTTCAACAGCTTTATACAGAATGTTGTTGCTCCATGAGACAATGAATGCCCAACTACCTCTCTCACTATCATTGGTTCTTGTGTAAGCACTATCTTAGCTATGATGAAAGATTATTGTCCATCATGGTCTTTAAAGAGCATTGGCAGACTTTTGATGCTTAACCCTCTGCACAAACTACACTTTCTGGCTAGGCTGATTTCTGCAGATTCCAGTGGCATCAGATGTTTATATCATATGGGGAAATCTGAGATATGGTGGTTATGAATTTTCTCAATGGTGACTGTATAGCACCTGTCTATCCATTACTGTCTCCAGAGGCATCTTTTAGGCAATCCTATGCTTAGGCGATATTTATGGGATCACTGTGGAACTAGAATGGCCCAATTGAAAAGGGCATTGGCCCACATGGTGTTTATATTGCAAGGCACTAGTCATGAAATTTAACTTGCAAGTACTGTTAGTGTTCTGCAATGCAGCCAAGACCTGTGGGAAATAATAAGGATTTGATGGAGGTAGCCGAAATACATCATGTTACCAGCCTTAAACAGGTGTTTTGTATCTTTTCAATCTTGCAGTCATACTGAACAAATGTAGTGTACAATCCAGGATACCAATGGATAAGACTTTGGTGACCACATGTAGGTGATATTCTTCAGTTCTATTTCATGCTACAGCATTCAATGCATTAATGACTTTGGTAGCTCTGGTTCATGTGGTGGTGAAGTTAACTGTCAAAGATTACCTCTAGATACTTCAGTGTTTCTTCCAGAAAGATAGTAGTGCCTACAAAGGATGGTGATGGCTTGTCCTCATAAATATGTGTGTTGTTGAGTGTGCAGAATATGGCTGTGACTTTTTAAATATTATTGGGATAATTGTTGTTGTAACTTTGAAAATAATCGCTCCAAGCTTACTGCAAATGAATGTTTTGAAATATTTTTATGCTAAAAAGGTTGACAGAATACTCATAACCAAGGCTTGGCTTGCATAGAGTTCCAATATGAACACTCTTGAGAGTGTAAGAGCATATGTAAAAACTGAGAAAGTCAAATTGTAGGGAGTAGTACAGGACATTTGGCACAATATTCTACAATCTTATATTGATAAACTGTATAGCAAGAAGACTAGGTGTAATGCTCTGTGTGAAGAAAAGGAGTCACATACTAAACACCTAGTACATAGTAAAACTTTTCACTTTTCTGTAATAATGTTGTGTATCACTAATAAATTCATCATTTGGTTGCCAATACAATTTGTCACTCTTGATGTATGCCTATCACAAATGTTCCCTCTAATTTTTATTTGCTCTGGGTGAACTACAAACTCCTCTGAGTACCAAATTTTTGTCCATAGGCTGTTTCTATTTTCATAACTTCCAAAAGCCATTCATCTTTAAAAGCTGAATAGCACTTTTTTTAGTGGCTGTTGGCACTTGTACTCTTGCCTTATGCTTGGACATGTATTATTCAGATAGTAGGCCTATGTCTTCCACAAAAAAACTATTACAAACTGACTAATTTGTAAGTGGTCTTTTGTTTTCGAAGTGTAGTACATCCCAGATGGGTGTACAGCCTCACATGCATGCAAGTAGGAACACTGTCTATTACTTGCATGTTTACATAATTATTTGCATTACTGTGTGTATACATACATACATATATATATATATATAAAGGACTTAATAACATCCTTCAAAAATTAACACACAATACATCACCTTAGAAAATATTGCCAAAATAAAATAAAAGGGGAATTTGTTGATTCACATACTTAAAATTATAATTAAAATACTGCTACAAATTGAAGAATGGGCCTTTAGAAAAAGATTATAACATTTACATTGTATTAAGTCATCAAAAAGGTACAATTAAGATTGAAAAATGCAAAGGGTTAACATTTGAGTTTCTTAGAGAAGCCCTAATAACTTGCACCTATTTTTTTTAAGATGTTAAATCAACCTCAACTATTTTATTGTTATATATCAAATAACACTGGCTACACTTACAACTAAAATACATTACTTAGCGCCAACAACACCAGCTATAAGATTGTTGAATAAACCTATGGAGAATTCCATTGCCACAAACCTAAAAAATGGTTTCAAAATAATGTTTAGAATACATATCCCCACATGCACAACAATATATTACAGAACTTTTAGAGAACATGTGTCTGTAATAATTCTTATTAACTTTTAATTAATTTTTAGTAACTCCCCTGAAAAGTATACTATTTTTAAAAAAACTTTTCAAAAGATTTATAAGTAGTCTATCAGAAGTTATACTTCTCAGATCTAAAATAAGTTTCTATAAAGAAGATTATCAACAAGAACTGACAATGGCTAGAGTAGGACTTATTCAATTATTCCATTTCCTTGTAGTGTAGTGCAATTTCTACTTCTTTGAATATCTGTTCTTTTCACAATGTATGATGTAGTGGCAGTACATTCGATCTTCTGGTTAGGAGCTGGTTTTTTTTTTTTAGCTTAATGACAAGAGATTTTAAGATTCTAATCCAGGAATGGAGAGTGACATGAAACAAACTGTAGGTAAGCTTAACATCACTATTGTTTAAACAATGGTAGCTAATACTACTGGTGTTGTAGTTTTTGCACTGTAGTTATTTTATTCAACTGCAAGAATTCATTCCATCTTAGAATGCTAGAATCTCTTGTCATTTAGCTAAGAAAACCAGCCCCTAAACAGAAGATGATCACACACTAAACTACATCTTCAGTTGTGAAAATGTAAAGAGAAGAACAGAACATGAATTTTGATCATTTAAATATCTACAGAACAATGATTTATTTTGTTCCTAACTTTTCTTTGTGGAGTCTTTATTTCTCATAACCTTACAAATAATGTACTACTTACAGATTTGGCTCTGGTAAATTGTCTGCGGGACTACTCTTCTTTTTTTCATCATTAGACACAAGGCTCATGTTAGGCTACAGATGGGCACATTCACCACAGAACCTGACCCTGTAAACACATAAAAATACTTTTTAGATTTCAAACTGTAAGTAAGAAGCTTAATTTTTTTTTTTTATTTAACTCTTAAATGTTTCTTGGGTTTCTGTTTTGGATATATGTCAAAAGGTCTATCTATACTAGCCATCCTAATTCTTAACTGATAAATTAGAAGGAAGGTAGCTAGTCAACAGCAATTACTGCCAACTCTTGGGCTACAATAATCAAATAATGGGACTTGATTATCACTACTATATTGCACCCATGGCCCAAAAGTGAGTACAATTTTGGATTAACAGAACATGAACCATGGGCTCTTGGATACACAGCCTGACATTCAAACCACAAGCCCATACCTCCTAAATAAACAAAGATAAATAGCATGTGTTTCAGTTTAAATTCGATACTTGTTTCACTTTATCTTCCTCTTAAATGACATTGGCTTACAAATGAGCAAATACACCTTGTTCAGCTTTTTATGTGCTTAAAAACATTTAATGTGGAAGTAAGTCTCTGTTATGAATGAACTTACTAACCCGTCTATTAACAGATAGTTTTCAGTCTAGATGCCCAAGTTAAACCATGGCAATGGTAGAAAAATATAATATATGTATATTTATATATTTCAGATGAATTTTGCAGGCTTATACTAAACAAAACTGCTAAAAAGCATTATACCGACCTTTATTCAAAAAAAAGAGCTGTTTCCAGTGGTAATAGCATTTGAAAAACAAAAATTAGTAAATTTTCAAAATAGGACATCAGACTGAATACTGACACAAATAACAAAATACTGAGTCTTTATTTCTACATGTAAGACATCCAGCCAGTAAAATTAATATATAATTTTTCTTAGGTCCAAGTAAGATCTAACAATGCTATTTTGTTTTTTCACTCCCATGTATTTATTACTTGGTTTGTAAATAAATAAATGTGATATCAATGGCTCTTTATAATATTGTTTGGTTGGGGAGAATTCAAATGATGTTTCTGGTCCTCGTGGTGATGTCTCTCTCTCTCTTCCTTTTTTTTTACATATTGATATTGCACTGAAATTAATATTTTATTTTGTTAATTTTCATTCAGTATATTTTTTTGTTTTTCCAAATTCTTTAACATGTTGGTAATTGTTATTTTTATTCCTTTTTCTTGAGAAACTTGACTTTTTGTTCCTACCAATTTAATTGCTTTAATTTCAGTTGACAAATAATATTGTAAAAAATTGGAAAATTCATTAGCTATTCCATGTCCACATCTTTTTGTTTCTTTTCTTATGTATTTTGCAGTTGTACTGTTCTTCCTTACATCAGGTTGCAGATCTTCATCTTTTTTACTATTTTATTCCATTAAAATCACTCCTGTTTAGCATTTTTTGTTGGATTAATTTAGTAGTTACTTACTACTAACTTATTTATGATACTGTGTGAAGATACTTTGGTGGCAGGGAAAAGGTCTTTTCATAATACTGTCAGAGCTAACAATTTTAGTAACCGAATAGCAGAAAAGATGAACCAAAAGAGCTACTCAAGTGATTTAATGTTAAACTTTGCTACAATATATAGCTCTTCCAGTTTATCACCAGTCAGGTAATGGCACGACTTTTTTTACCAAAATGAAATAATTAAAGGAGTTATTATCATGAGTATGTCTGGCTGAACAGGTAGCTGGCTAGACCTGTGAAACAAGTTTAATGGTAAGAAGAGTGCTCTATGTTTTTGAATAAGCAATGGTATAATAACAAAACTAAGTAAACTGTGAATCTTATCTAAGCCTTGTCTACCTACTACTAGTTACAAGTATACGAAAAAAGACAGCTCCTATCTGTTATATGTTTGGTAATGTCATAAGGATTCATTTCTAAGCATTAAACCTCTCTAGTTTGAGAGTCATGCACAATATTTAACCCAGTCCAACCTTGTCATTGAAAATATTCTAAAGTTGTTCCTAATCAATTTGAATATATGTATATATAAATCATTATTCAAGCTTACTGTCTGATAACCGTACAGAAATTATTTTGCATTCTACATTACCAGTTGTTCATTATTTACAAAAAATAGTATAAATGGGTCAAAGTTTTATGGAACATATAGTAAGGCAGCAAGTTAAAACCTTTAAAAGACAGCAAACATACATAAATATCATTATAAATAATGTAATCTTTAACTACATCCAAATAAAACATTGGATTTTTGTTTCGAACACCACCCATATCTGCAAATTGGGTAAGATCATGTTTGTCAGAAAAAATTGACCCCTTGCAGAAGTAGTTTTTTTTTCAGTTTCCTTTTTTGGGCAATGTAATTGGCTAAAAATACAACATTTCAGTCTCTTTTTAGTTTGAGTGGACCACTGTCTGCTCCAAATCAATGGACTGAAATTGCTGATGACAGCTTCAATGACTGTCAAAAAAATTGCAATTTTAGTTCAAAATGGAACCTTTATCTTGCAACTTCAAAAAGCTTAAATGTTCAAAATGTTTAATGTGCTCCCACTGTGGTTGTGAATGTGGCAGATTATCTATTTCTGTTATATTGAGTCTAAGACATAGAGGAAAGCAGCCAAAAAGTGTTTTGGCAAGAACTAATAATGCAACAGACAGTAGGAAAAAAACAATTAAATTACAATGAAAATGTAAATATCAGAGATGAAGTTACACATGATGAAAATGATGATATGGATTTTAATGATAATGACACTTTAGCCTTAACTGAAGATAGTGATGATGGAGATGACGATGATGACAAAGAAAGTGGATACATCATAAAAGAATGTAAAAATGTATATGATATCAGAGCTATTTTTGGAATAGATGCTTCTTAAAGTTTAAATTCTACTGATGAAGCAAGTCCTATAATTACCTTCAGCATTTCAGTACTAAAGAAAATATGCTATATTCTCTTACGCAATGATGCAGACCAAATATAATTAATTAATTATTATTTATTATAGAACAGTAAATTGTAAAATATAGAGAAACCAAAGAAATCATATTCACTAACAAGTTAAAAAATATACATGTATAACTGAAGTACAATCAAAACTTCCACTGCTTTCTATCCAGTGAAGGGTGTTATTAGCTTCATTGTGTGGTTCACTACAAAATGATGAAGTTTTCCACTTGTGTAAAACATATATCAAAACCCAATAGACTATCTGATGTTTTATCTTGAAATAGTATCTTGTAAATCTATTCTGAATGAGGCTGTTTACAACTGCAGTGCTATTTATCTAACATTCCTAATATATAGTTATTATCCATTGTTACATCGATCTTTATGTAGCCTTATCTTCATCTGTATTGAATATTTTGCTCTAAAAAAAATGAAATCCTTATCATTAGTAGTTTCATATAGCATCATTTCCACAATCTAATTCCAAGATGAATGTTTGATGATCTTATCCCTAGTACAAAATGTTACCTAGTTTGCTTGATATAATGGGGTTTTACATGTAAATTCAGAAAGTTATGTTACTAAATTTATGGTGACTGAGACCTTCAAGTAAGACTGAGCAAAGAATTTATTATTTAAAGTATTTTCAGAAGTACAAATTTATACAATTCTAATAACACTAAGTAACTTCATACAGTGAAAGTTAATTCTGCATAATACATGGGAGGTCCAGTTACCATCCAACAATATTTTGATAGGTGCATAAAATAAAAATATATGATGTGACAACACCTTTTGCCCATTAGTTAAGTTTACCCAGTAAACTCTAAAAAACAAAACTGAACACCAGTCAATCTAAATATTAGCTTTAAGATTTATTTACACATTGAATAATACATTTAATATATATATATATATATATATATATACATACAAGACAATTTTAAGTTAGATTAAGCCCTTGATAATCTTCTGTTTTGTGGCTTCTGGTATAAATTTGTCAAGATGCTCTGCAAAAATAAATTTCTGAGAACTTTAAGCACACCTACCACTTATGTTGAATAAATCGTCAATTTCCTGACTCATATTTCTCAGATTTTCGAAAAGTTCAAAATATATTTTTGGGAAGCCTCTCACTAAATGAAAGTACTTATGCATTTATATAACTTCCTTATCAAATAAACTTCCAAGAATAGTATTTTCTAGCTTACGTTTAACTAATATCTCACTCCTCCAGTTTAACTATGTTAGATTTACTCTTCATAAAATTTAACATTAGACAAACAACAGCCTTAACAGTGTTCAGTTAGCCAAACATATTTGATGTATTTTAGGTTTATATATATAATTATGTTTCTAATTAAATCATTACAGCCAAAATGACAATCAGTGGAAATGTGTAAATAAAAAATCGAGAATTTAAAAGAGATAAAATTTATTAAATCAACCACAGCATTACCACTGCATTAGCTGACGAGCACCTAACATTAATTAAAATCGTCTACTGCCCAATTTAATTTTATACCCAATGATTACTTTAGGTTCTATACTGTAAGTAGTGTTTGATAGTTGTAAGATGGGTGGCAAGAGAGTTGGACAGGCAGAGAGAGTATGGATAGGCGAAGAAAGGACTCAAATGGAAAGAAAACAGTAGAGGGGGGTGTGACCATTAACCTCTGTGGAGGAAATACACTAAAGTGACTACTGTCTGACCGAGTATAAATTTTTTTTTAGGAACATAAGCTGTTAACGGAAACAACTGAGTGGAATATTTGTAACCTGACAGAAGTAGAACTTGAATAAGAAACAAAAGTGTAAAAGAAATAATTCCAATACTGTTATTGTTACGTAACACGTAATGAGTATCTAGAAAGATTGAAGAACCTGTCGAAAGTCCTGGCAGTTGCTAAACTCATGCTCTTATAGTATATAAGCCGGCAAATAGAGTGATGGCAACAATTGAATAGAAGACAGAGAGATTGAAGATACAGATGGACAATTGAGTCAAACGTGGTAGTAAATAAAGTGAGTGAATCGGTCGTTGAGCATTATAGCGTGTGTTTCAGTTAAAGTGACTGTGGAAATTATGTGTATTGCAACATTGTATTGAGAAAAATT